CGATATGATACGATATGATATGATATGATATGATATGATATGATATGATATGGTATGATATGATATGATATGATATGATATGATATGATATGATATGATATGATATGATATGATATGATATGATATGGTATGATATGATATGATGTGATATGATATGATATGATATGAAATGAAATGATTTGATATGAAATGATATGATATGATATGATATGATATGATATGATATGATATGATATGATATGATATGATATGATGATATGATGATATGATGTGATGATGCTGATGATAAGGCGATATGATGTGATGATGATGACGATCATGATGATGATGATGACAATAATGATGATGGTGATGATGATGATGATGCTGATGATGATGATGGTGATGATGACGTTGATGATGACTATGAACATCATCATGGCGATGATCAGCATGGTGATGGTGATGATGCTTGATGGTGACGATGACGATGATGACGATGGTGATGATGATGATGATAATGATATTGATAATGATGATGATGACGATGATGATGATGGTGATGACGATCACGATCACGATCACGATGACCATGACCATGACGATGACGATGATGGTGGTGATGACGATGACGCTGACGCTGTTGGTGTCGCTGTCGCCGTCGCCGTCGCTCTCGCTGTTGCTGTGGCTGTCGCTGCCTGTAGTGGTTGGAGTAGCAGCAGCAGCAGTAGCGGCTGCGGCAGCCACAGCCGCAGCAGCCGTAGGAGTAGCAGTAGCACGAGCAGTATGGCGGTATAGCAGTACAGCAGTATAGCAGTATAGCAGTACAGTAGCAGTCGGAGTGGCAGTCGCAGTGGCAGTCGCAGTCGCAGCTGCACCCGCAGATGCAGCAGCAGCAGCAGCAGCAGCAGCAGCAGCAGCAGCAGCAGCAGTCGTGGTCGCGGCAGTCGGCAGTAGTTGCAGCAATAGATAGCAGTTTCAGTCGTAGTGGCAGTGGCAGTCGTCGTCAGCATAGTTGATCTGCTTTGCCGTTGGTGTCAGCCGAGCTCGTGAAGCATCTCTGCATGCAAAGGCCGTAACCCGAACGGATCCAGCCAGTATGATCCAACACGCAATCTCGAAACCTCAAGCCCGCTCAAGCGGAGCGCCAGGAACCCTGAAGCCCAATCTGGCGATCCTGGGACACATTATGCCTTGGTTAAACTACAGAACTCTGGGGTACAGTATACAGAATACTCATACCAGGACAAAGAATAAAAATATGATGAATGATTCCGACACGTACGACGTAATCTTGGGCCCCTGACTGCTGCCCAATGCACTGGGCCGTTGCCCCGGGCATCGAGCTGTTCTGGCGAGGCACTGCACTGGATCAAAGTCCTCTCGTGCGGAGTTCGGGTCCCAGTTTTTAAGGCCTTTCGTTTCGGCATTTGGGAGTTTAAGATCTAGGGTGTGGAGCCGTAGGTGGACTTTGGACTAAGGGCAGAAGAGCTTTAGGGTAAACCGCTTAGGCTGTCATCATCAAGTTTTGACACGCCTCAACCGGGACACCAGTCTGTATCGAGATATCAGTCCAACTTGTGTGCGAAATCGAGACACTGCACAGTCCATAGGAAGATGCTGCCTGTCTTGCGACGGTGAGCCTGGGGCCTGGGGGAAACTGAGGCCATCTGTCTGAGAAACTCTCCTTCGCTCACTCCTGCCCCTGACTCTCTCTGACAAACCGCTGCCTTCGAAGGCAAACAAGACACGTGATCTCAACCGCATTCCCGTAAAGCTGAAACCCAATCTCTCTTTTCGTCTCACTGTCTCTGGATGATGGATGCTAGAATGACCCCAATGCAGCGCATTCCTTCGCGCAAGCCACTACAAGAATCTGAGCCACAAGGTGGTATCAGGCTGGAAAGCCGAGCCTGCAACGCAGCTCCTTTAACCTTAGGCCCCGACGAAACCGTCAGTTCCCGAATTGCTGGGTGTCGACTTGGCGGTCGTAACCGAAAGACCATCAAGGAAGTAGAGATGTCGATTACTAGACCTTGTTCTACCACACCAAAGATGCACTACGTTCCGTGTATAGTGCTATCATAAGTTCCGAAAGACTACGGACAGGCTTAAGAATGCCAATTCGGATGAAAGAGTCCGGTGGATTCTGGGGATCAGGGCTTCGGGTCAAAGGCTACCTCCCTCCAGTGTGCACCCGACAACCCGAGCCACCCGATGCTGGCCTGGCACAATCGACGTAGCCCCTGCAAGGAGAAGTGCTCGGTACTGCAAGGAAGAATTCATCAACGACTGGACAGGTGCTTTCAGCATCAAGAAATGCAGCAGCAGCAACAACAACAACAACAACCACCACCACCACCACGACGACAACGACACCGACAATGACAACGACAACCACAACAACGATCACAACCGATACCGACAACACGATGATAGAAGTGATGTAAGTGCTTTTTGGCAACAGTGATCGTAATTATCCGGATTATCCAGCGTCAACCAGAAGCCCTTGAACCATGTGGGTAGCTCAAGTCGCTAAAGGGCTTAGGATATAAATTTTGGACGAGTGTTTTGCACTGTGGGGGTAATTAAAGCCTACAGAAACATTCAGCCCCGAAAGTTTGGACCACCCAGAAAAGCATGCAAATATCAGAATCCGTTAGCCAAACCTGCCCTACAAGTACGAAAAAAGTGCTCTTTGTGATAGCCTATTCCCTTGATGAGAAAGAATGGCCCGAAATAAGACCCTAAATCCCTGAACAATTGTAGATCCCTGATGGACTAATAGAATCCCTTCTAGAATCCGTCTGAGAACACTCAGGGCCAAGAAACCAAAGCAGACACCCCAACCCTGACATGAGCCTGATGCATGCGATGCCCAGAGCCGGCAGACCACAGTCTGTGACGGCATCAATGCCCTGCGTGATGGGGCTTGGGCTTTAGAGTCTCGGTTGTTGCTTGGAGTTTAGGCTTAGATGCCGCTATGAAATCTTGATTTTCCGACTCCCCTCCGGACCCCGACACCAACGATTCCTCCAGCAGAGACATCGACGTCGAAACCCAGATGGAGGGAGCGGACCTCTGGCATCTCTTGTGCCAGGAAAGCAATGGCGCGGTCCTGGCATCTTGGGGTTAAGTTGAGGCGGTGGGGGTTCAGGGCTATAGCTCAGGGTCGGGGCGGGCTTCGTGGCGTGATGTGTAAAGGGTTTACAAGCATTTATCTCAAAGGGGGGCATTTTGCAGGGGAACAAAGTTTCGATGTCCAGCATAGTTCCGAGTCCCGATAACTTTTCAGATGGTCTTCATGGCTAAGAGGTCAAATCCCGGAGCCTTTGTACGCATCCAACAGTCGTGAAGACCGAACTCTTGTGATACGTGCTCAACTTTCAACCTCCAAAACCCATAGCAGCTTGTCTCGACAGTTGTTCAGCCCAGCCCTTCGACCCCCAACTCCAAGCTCTTTTTCAGGGGTTTGAAGCAAGGGGAAGGATAGTGAGCTGCGAATGCACCCGTAGCTACAGCCCGGCATCCCCTATGTCGGCATGTCCGTGGAGGCCTTATCGACTCTGGGCCCATAGGTGAATTGCTCGCAAGAAGAACATGGTGGTGCCGGAACAGGTTGCAAAGGATGCTCACACTGGCAACTTAAACTTTTTCTGCTGATTGATGCGCTTCCATCCTGCCGCGGCATTGGCGACACACACATTCGCCAACGAGTTGTCAGGCGCATCACGGCGCCCGGAGTGGCCAGCCCTACAAGCCCTGACGTCTCAAAGCCATAGAAATGCAATGTGGCGACCACACGCCTCAAAACTGTCGAATTCGTGTTCTCTCATACGCTCTTTGACATCCTCTGACTAGTCTTGCTCAGGGTCTGTGGCCCCGTCGGGTAAGATCCGGGCAGGGTCCGATGTCCGGCTCCAGAGCGTATTTGAGCGGCTTTTGGCTTTGGGTTTATGGCTTAGGGTTTAGGGTTTAGGGTTTAGGCTGAGGCTGAATGTCAGGGCTGTAGGAGTGTGCCCTGCCAAAGGACAACCGCCAGACAAACACTTTGTACATGACTGCCCCCGCTCGGAGACATGTATGGCCCCCTGGTTCTGACTTCAATCACCAGAAAACACAACAAGATAGCAAAAGTCGAGCATTTCGGGTTGCTGAGTCGGATATGAAATATTCGAAACCCGGACGCTTAAAGACGTCTTTTTCAGATCGTGATTAGTTGTCCAGCCACAGGACCAGGGGGAAGAATTAAATGGGTAGCATCTCACGCGAACCCAATGCTGGGTTGCAACCAACTGCTTAAGTGATTGGCTATGAATGTCAAGCTGCATTCCGTGTGTTCCAGGTTCTAAGGTTTGGGAGACAAAGACCCAGACAACAAGATGCGAAGAACTGTAGAACCTAACAGTGCTTCGGCACAGACTACCCCTTCATCTACGACCGGGGATGAACCGGCGGAGCGCTGTACTGCCCGCGCACCCGGACCAGCCAATCGGATCTCGACCACGCCTGCAAGCCAGGGCTTGATGCCTTCACATGCCGTACCTGCTAGTGTGACTGTTCCTTCTTGCCAATCCTGCTGTCAACATCCTTACAACGACTTTTTGCGACGACATCTGGGCCACCCACCTTCTGGCAGGCTAGATGTCGGATCGGCTGTAACTACCTTGGCTGCGCGTGTGGGAGCATCCATGGGGCTTCCAGCTGAAGGCACAGGGTAAAACTAGGTTGTTGAAACTCCGAAACGCGAAACCGGCGATCTTCACTGTTTCACACGGACGAGAAGGCTACTAAAAGTAACAGAGATGGCACGAGCATATCCAAAAAGCTCTTGCCAGTTTCTGGAATGGTTCAGCTGCGACGCAAGTCAGCCGAGGTTGAAGGTCTCGGCTTGGCAACCCTGTGTGGTCTCGAGCCAGGGAATAGAGCTGTACCCTCAACTCTGGCCCTAAGCTTGAAAAACCAAAAAGCTTTACCGCAAGCCCGTCTGACGAAAGCCGTCCCGGCTGCTCTCTTCATCCCCCAAACGGCGGAGCGGCCTGGGATTCAGGGCTCTGGGGTGATGTAGGATTCTTGATAATCACTATCGGCTTTTTGGGCTATAGCATATGACAGCTCTACAGGGACTTCAGCGGGAGACTATTTACTGATGTTTCAGGTGTCGATATGTCAACCTCGGGGTTTCGGGTTTTCTTCTCTAGGCCAGGCTCTGAATAGAAGCCCTTCCATTCGAGGAGTGGCTCGTCCGTCCACCAAAGTTAGGATAGATTGTTGAACAGGATCGGGCCATCTTAACACCAAAGCATTTCGTCCAGCGTAAGACCAGATTGGTTCGAGGCTAATGTTCTGTTCACAAAACCTGTCAACAACATCAACAGTAGATGGTCAAAGCGGTTTCCGTCCTCACTAAGCTTGGATTCAGGCCTGCTCTCCTCCCTGGTCCCTCCTGCTGCAGAAGCCTGTTGCTTTAGAGGTCTGCTCATAAATGGCTGAATCCTTGAATTGCTGGTTCGACCCATCGTCCTGCAGACATCGATCGGAACTGCTAGACTGTGCTTCGAGCTGGAGGAGCATATTGTGGGCAAGGGGAAGAGGCCGCTATCAAGAGGTCCTACTACATTCTTCATCTTTGTCTGCCAATCCCGAAGCACCGGGGCTGCGAGTCCCGAGAGAAATAGTCCGACACTGCATCCCCATCTCTTGCAAGCTAAGTCACCTGGGCGTCGTCAGAGCGAGCCGGGTTCGTCTTCGCAGGAAGTAGCTGCTGCAGACAGCGCCCGCGCCACAGAAAGCAGCTGGTTCAGGGCTTCGGAAGACTTGGGGCTGAGAGATGGCCCGTTCAGGGGTGCGAAGAAGCAGGCTTTACTGAGAGGTCATAGCAACTCTGGGAACTTTTCATGGAGCAGGGTGAGAAGATTCTGTTGCCTCCCATCCCAACCGCCATCAGCCTTGAAACGGCCACGACAGCACGTTACGGGGTGGTAAAGTTGGTGAAGGAAGCTTCATGAGACCCAGAACACATCCATGGAAGTTACATGTTCAACAACAAAATGTAGATGGATGAATTTTAAAGAGCACAGTCGCTACCATCCGAGCACAGGCTGTGACCGGATACCACTCGTGGTCATGATGTATCAGGCAATGATACAGTATGGTTTGTGTTGACAGTTGATGTCTTCTTGTTGCCGCATCCTCTCCTCTCTTGCAAGGGATGTAGGAATGCAAGGCGTCGGGCCCGGGGAAGCAAAAAGTGCTCCCCACACGCCAGAACTCTGGCCGGAGCCCTCGACTGACTGCCCTCTGAGCTGCACTGCAAAATCCATGACACCCAGAAACGGAAAACCCCCCCATTTCCTGCATTCAGCATCATTCGCTACGGTCTGACGACTGCTCCTTCTCAAACCTGCAGTCAACAAACGACACACAAACGAAAAGTCATGAAGCACCACCCAAACCCAGGGCCCCAAAGCCCTAAAACCCCGCTAAACCCAAACCCCCAAAGCACCCACCAAGGTAGATGACCCGGCCTGGGACCGCCAGAAACTCGAGGAGGAACGACCAGACTTTCTCCCCCTAAGCCGAACGTTGCTGCAAGGTTGCTCTGCGGGCTTGAAAAGGGTCGTAAGATGTTGATGTTTCGCAAGCAAATTCCGACGAAAAGGTCCCGTCAGCATCGACCGTGTAAGATGTTGCAAGAGGGCATTCTAGAAGATGTCGGTAGTCGAAGACATGACACGGAGGCTGAGGCGCAGGTGTGAAGCACTTCTTGGACAGTGCGGCACGACGAAACTGGAAGCATGACTCAAGCTGTGGATCTCACATGGTGACACAATCTTTCAGTGCTGGGGGGTTCTGATTGCGTAGCGGCTTCCACCGTTCTGCACCGAGTGCCCGGCAGGCACGATTTCCCACCAGGATCTTTGCGAACAGCCTGCTTGCAGGCTCAGACTTCAGGGGGCCAAAGTCCTTCTTCGTTTCACGAAGCACTCGCATCTATGGTTCGGCTCAGGCGTCCGCAACTACACTACCCCGTGCTTGAGCAACAAACATGATGACCCCCGAGTGCAGGGTCCGAACTTTACTCATGGCTCCTTCTGAACCCCCTGTGGAAAGCCCCAAGCATCTTATCCCGTCGAGGGTCTAGCCTTTGATATGCTCTGACCAGTGGCACCTGAGGATGGCGTCGTCGTGGTGCTGGCACCACACTTTCCTTCCCCACACTTGGCAGAGGCCTTGCTGGACAAGGGTAGACAGGTCAGGCAAATCGGGACATTTCGGGACGCGGAAAGGCCTGCCCTCAAGCCACTGCAGTTCCAGGACCACGGGACCAGCACATCTGAACACCAAGCATTCTGAACTTGTCCGGAAACTTCCAAGGCCTAGACGGGGCCTAGTCATACCACTTCTGGGCCGCACGCATCACAGCAATCGCTCCCACAGAGCTTCATGCCGGCTTCGCAGCAGGTGTACTGGCATTTCTTTGCCTCGAGAGGCTTTGCAGGTCGTAGCAACGACAAGCACAGGCCGAACAAGAAAGACAACACCAATACTCAGAAGCCGCAGCGACGAGAAGAAGGCCATCGGTCGAAAGCCCAGGAGAATCATGATCGTCATCACCATCATCATCCCCGCCGAAACCTACACCACAATCATCGTTGTCGTCGTCGAAGTTAAAAATCATCGTAAATGCGATCATTGCCATACTCCTCATGAAACTTGTGCCAGTGCTTTTCCGCCCTCCTCCTGCTCCTCCTCATCCATCGTCCTTGACTCTTCATCCTCATCCCTTCTTCCTCCTCTTCATCCTCCTCCTCATCTTCATCATCATAGCTCATCGCATTTTGCCCGGATGGGAAGTTTCCAGAGGAGCGGTGGATCTCGATCACCCCGAAAGCCGCTTGGCAGGCCTCCACGCACACCGCGGCCGCCGAGCCAAAGAGCAGTTCGTCGGACGCGGGGCAGCAGCAGTGCTCGGCATCCTCTTGGAGATGAGGGCGCTTGGAAAGCTTTCTTCTCTTTCAAGTGGCAAAGTTGGAGGGGTATGGGAATTATAAGTGCTTTGAGGCTTCAGGCTTGAGATCTACAGGGGGCCGAGGGCTTCCGAGCTTGAAGGTGGGGGGGTGCTCTGGACTGTACAAAGTTTGGTGTGGAGTTTGGGAGCTGGGCTACAACTAGATTCCTAGGAGCAACCCAAGCAGCCGTGCTTGGCAAAAATCGGCCCCAAGCGTAGCCACGTCGATAGACACTTGAGAGTCTTGGACAGTTTGGAATCCAGTGTCTCTTCCCCTAAAAGACCTAAACCCTGGGCGGCTTGACAGTAAACCCGTAACCGTGAATCCTCTGCCCGAGCCTCGCGATTTTTGACGCCTTTCGAGGTGGATGTGTTGCAGCACTTGAAGCCGTCGGCACAATCGCAAGGGCTCGCAACACCTCGGCATAGCGTCTTCCACCCGACTAAGGCCAGGTCTCGCCGACCTAAGATTGAGGTAAGGTTGTTAGTGTCTGTATTGCTCTTACACTGATCACTAGCTACTAGTTTACCAGCTGTTCCTGCATCAGACATGTATAGCGATATATGCTATGTCCAAACTGGGGATGGATGGGTACATATTGATGGATGCTCTCACAGCCAGGCTCATATCCCACCGGTCTCTCTAGTGTTCCGCCACGTTTGGTTGCTCAATAGGGGAATACAATGCTCCGCCTTTTGAAGGCTTGGAGGAGTTCATGCGAATGCCTGTGAAAGGATCCCGAAGGAACGAAAAACTGTGATTGAGGGTCCCAGAAGGGCCTTTTGGAGGCTTCTACTATAGGGGCCTGAATAATTAAAATAAGGTCTTGGGGTATATTATACCATACCTATAATAGGGAACCTCCAAAATAGTATAGGTAATTATTTAGGTCCCTACATTAAGCGATGTTCAAGACTCTGCCAAGTTGTTTGCAAGCAAAGCTTCTGGTGCACTGAAACGTTTGTGGGCTGTCGCTGATGGCCACGGCCGCAGTGGCTGCCATCAGCCATCTCACAGGGACGAACATGGCTGCAGCCCCTAATCACGAAGCCCTGGCACTGACAGGGCCCAAGGGCTGCGGAACGTCCCACTGAGGCCTGCGGCCGAGGCTTGTCAGAAATGGAGGCCGTAAATAGTCTAATACCACTACTAGTAGAATTACTGCAATCACTTCTTTAACCCGCAACCCCGCGCCCCATCCCGCAATCCCAATCCTACCCCAGCCCACACATACCTGCGCATGCGCCGCGGCTGCGTGCCATGCCGTCCATCCTGCTCAGACAGGGGCCCTCCGCGGTTTTCTTGGGCACAGGATTTAGGGTTTAGGAGGTTTAGGGTTGAGCGGGTAAGCCCTAAGCCGTGAAAACTAAACGGCAAGTGCCAAGGCCTGAGTTCTTCGGCATAACTTCCGGCTCTCATATGCAAACCTGTCCGCCCCATATGAACTTCAGAGCCTCCCAACAAAAGTTCCGAAAGAGGGAAACCTTCGCATCTTGAGGAACTCCAACAGAAATCTTGAAGTTTGGTGTCACGAGAGTTAGGGTTCCGGCTTCGTTGAGCAAAGAACTCACGGACACCTCACGGGTCTGCTCTCCGTGAACATACCGCACCTGAGGGAACCTAAGTAGCCTAAACCATGAACAAACAGCCTGAACCCTGAACCCGGTGATCCTAAACCCTGACGCCCGAACACTCAACTCCAAGCCATCAAGCCTCAACTGCAGAAGGGCTCATGCCTGAATAAAGACCCTGTAGTAACAGCGGCCACTGTATGATCGAAGCCAGAAAGTCGGAACATCGTCATCCTCATGCCCCTAAGGCAAAGTATAAGGGATCCTAGCACTAATCCTCCGAAATCCAAGTTCCGACTTTCTGGGGTTCACTATATGATATATAATACACTCTAAGATTACTGAAACACACTAACAATATATGATCCCCAGCCGCGACTCTCCTGAAGCCTCAAAAAAGCGCCTTGAGCCCTGAACTCCTTGAAACCCCTTCTAAATCCGACACCCTAAACCCTAAACCCTGATACCTGGAAAAGCCTGATACCTGATAAAATAAACCCTCAGCAACCAAACCAAACCCCAAAGAGCTGAAATCTGGACTGGCCCACCTCGAAGTGCGGAGGAGCTGCTCCCTGCGCCCGCTGAGAGGAGCTCCTAGCAGGTTTCAGAAAACCAGGCGTACCCTTAGTTAGGGGGCCTTGACCGGATTTGAAAACCCCCCCCCCTTTCAGGGTGCAAGGCCTCTATCTCTCGCGGAGGGGCGCTCTGGTGCCAAAAGCACGCAGTGCAGGGCTGAAGGGTTTGCAGGGTTTTGGGTTCGGGGCTTCAGAAGGTCTCGGAGCACCTTAGGATCCTATGCTTGGAGAATGTCAAGTCACGGACTTCGGGCCTCTGGCCTCGGGGGTTTCAAGACTTGGTGTATGGGAAGGCGGGAACTCCAACTTCCCAGCATCCAACAAAGGGTTTAGGGTTTAGGGTTTAGGGTTTATTTAGGGTTTAGGAGGCACGACGAATCGAAGAAGGAAAGGCGCTGCCACAAGATGGCGAAAGTGTTCATACTCTGCGTCGAAGAACCTACGTCTGTGTGAAGGTTTGCACTCGTACAATGTGTGCATGGTTGTACATGCGCATGCATGCATGCAGATATGAATGGATGGATGGATGGATGGATGGATGGATGGATGGATGGATGGATGGATGGATGGACGGATGGACGGACGGACGGATG